TATTTTTTTCTAAGATTGATTGAGATCAATCTTAGAGATAAAGAGAGGGAGAGAGAGTGAGCGAGATCACAGGGGGAGAGGCTGCAAGAGAGGGGAGAGGGAATCCTAAGCAGACTCTGAGCTGAGTGTGGAGCCCGACTTGGGGCTCGGTGGGGGCTCAATGCCATGACCCTGAGATTACAACCCTGAGATCAGGACCTGAGCTGAAACCAAGAGTTGGACCCTAAATTGACTGAACCACCCAGGCACCCCACTGGGCCCTCTATTGTATTCCATTTGTACATTTGTCTGTCTTTATGCCAGCATCACACTGTTTTGATTGCTGTAGTTTTATAATAAAGTTTGAACTCAGGAAGTGTGAATCCTCAGTTTGCTCTGCTTTTTCTAGATTGTTTTGGCTATATAGGGTTCCCTGAGATTTCATATGGATTTCAGGATGGGTTTATCTATTTTTGCGAAAAAAAGTCATTGGGACTTTGATAGGGATGGCATTAAATCTGTAAATCATTTTGGGTAGGATTAGCATTTTAACAATATTAATTAAATCCTCTAATCCACGAACACAGAATGTCTTTCCATTTATTTGTGTATTCTTTAATTTCCATCTGCAACATTTTGTAGTTTTCATTGTACAAATCTTTCACTTCCTTTGTTATTTCTTTTTTTTTTAAGATTTTATTTTTTTATTTGACAGAGAGAGACATAGCGAGAGAGGGAACACAAGCAGGGGGAGTGGGAGAGGGAGAAGCAGGCTTCCCATGGAGCAGGGAGCCCGATGCGGGGCTCGATCCCAGGACCCTGGGATCATGATCTGAGCCGAAGGCAGACGCTTAGTGACTGAGCCACCCAGGCGCCCCTGTTATGTTATTTCTGAGTATGTTATTCTTTCTGATGCTATTGTGAACACAATTATTTTCTTAATTTCCTTTTCAGATTGCTTATTGTTAGTGGATAGAAATGCAACTGATTTTTGCATGCTGACTTTGTATCCTTATACTTTGCTGAATACATTTATTAGCTCTAATAATTTTTGTGTGGAATTGTTAGGATTTTCTAATTATAAGGTTTTATCATCTGTGAACAGGGATAATTTTAGTACTTCCTTTCCAATTTGGATGCCTTTTATTTCTTTTCTTGCTTAACTGCATTGGCTAGGACATCCACTACTATGTTGAGTAGAAGTGGCGAAAGTGGGCACCCTTGCCTTATTCCTTGTCTTACTGGAAAAGCTTTCAGTCTTTTACCAACGAATATGATGTTCACTATGGGTTTTTTATATGTGGCTTTTCTTACGTTAAAGTTGTTTCATTCTATTCCTAGTTTGTTAAGTGTTTTTGTCATGAAAGGGTCAAATAAAATTTTAAGAATTAAAGTTTATAATTATTCAAATAAAAACCCAAGGAATGACTTAAACAGTAAACTAGACATAGTTGAAAAAAGTTAGTAAATTAGTGAGGAAAATTGAATAAATCATTCAGGATTCAGCATGGGGAAATAGTATAAAACAGAGGCAAAGATTTATGGATGATTCAACATATTTTAAATAGGGGTTCTAGTTAGGAATAATGACAAAAAATGGTGGGAAGCCAATATTCCATGAGTTACTGGTTGAACATTTTTCAGAATTAGCATAAAATCTCAGATTAAAGAAGTGTACTATGTCCCAAATAGGAAAAATAAAGAAAGCGCACAACACACACACACACACACACATACGTAAAAGGGCAGAACCTAGAACAATGTGAATGTCTTAAAAGACATGAGAGATAAGGCAGGTTTCTAACAAAATCATGAAAAACAGGCTGACAGAAATTTTTATCAGTATATTAAAGCCAGAAGACTATGGAAAAATGTCTAATAATTGTCAATCTGTAATTCTATACACAGCTAATCTGTCATTTCAAACTAAAGGTGAAATTAAGACAATTTTACATATACAAAGTGTCTTACTTTCATAAGGCTGCCATAACAAAGTACTACAAACAGGGTAGCTTAGAACAACAGAAATTTATTTTCACACAGTTTTAGAGGCTAGAAGACCAAAATCAAGATGTTGACATTGTCATTGTCCCTCTAAAAGCTATAGAGGGTTTCTTGCCTTTTTCAGTTTCTGATCACCAGAAGTATAACTGCAATCTTCACATGGCATTCTCCTGTTTCTTCACATAGTCCTCTTTCTGTGAATGTCTATCTCTAAGACTAAATTTCCCCTTTTTATAAGGACACCCGTCATATTGTGCTATGGTATGTTTGTGCACCCCCAAAATTCATATGTTGAAATCCTAACCCACAAACATGATGGTATTAGCAAGTGGGGCCTTTGGGAAGTGCTTAAGTCTTGAGAATGGAACCCTTACAAATGGGAGTCATGTTCTTATAAAAGAGACCCCACAGAGATCTTTCACTCTTTCTTGTGAGAACACAGCAAGAGGTCAGAAATCTGCAACCCAGAATAAGGCCCTCATTCAACCATGCTAGCACCCTGATCTTGAACTTCCAGTCTCCAGAACTATGAGAAATAAACGTTTGCTGTTTATAAGCCATCCAGTCTGTGGTATTTTGTTATAGCAGCCTGAAGGACTAAGACATACTGGATTAGGGCAACCCCAACAACCTTATTTTAACTTGATTACCATTGTAAAGACTTGATTTCCAAATAGATGACATTTGGGTGTACTTCAACTCATCTTTTTTGGGGGGGACACAATCAAACCCATCATACAAGGCTGAGAGTTTACTCTCCAAGACTCTTCCTGAAAGAATCTACTAAAGGACTTACTTCATCAAGAAGGAAATTAAACTCAGGAGGAAGGAGTGGTATGCAAAAAGGAACAATGGCCAGAAAAATTGAGAGAAGATCCTTTCTTAAGGTCCCACTGCTTTTAGCAGGCAGTATTTGAACCCAGGTTGTCTGACACCTTAGCCTATGCTTCTAACTTTGACATTACATATGCCTCTATGAGGAGTGTTTTTAAAATCTCACGAGGTAGGGCGCCTGGGTGGCTCAGTTGGTTAAGCGGCTGCCTTTGGCTCAGGTCATGATCCTGGAGTCACGGGATCGAGTCCCACATCGGGCTCCCTGCTCGGCAGGGAGTCTGCTTCTCCCTCTGACCCTCTTCCCTCTCATGCTCTCTATCTCTCATTCTCTCTCTTTCTCAAATAAATAAATAAAATCTTAAAAAAAAAAATCTCACGAGGTAATATACAGGTAAGTGTCTGAGACTTTCTTTGAATTTTAATTTTTAGTCATTATTTATTAACTATCTATAATGAAGTTCTAAGAAGGTCCTGGAATAGAATTAGGCCTTTCTTTTCTTTACCAAATTAGAGAAAAATGGCTAGTTTTCTTCTGAAGAATTTATTCTTACTGAGTGTTTATTTTGTATTTCTTCTCTGTGAGGCACTGTGATCAGTGTTTTGGGTATAAATGGGAGAATCATTATTCCATAGTTCTTGATTTCAAGGAGCTTAGAGTTTAATAAGAATTGTTTTTGGTAGGGGACCCCTGGGTGGCTCAGTTGGTTAAGCGTCTGCCTCCAGCTCAGGTCTTGATCCCAGGGTCCTGGGACAGAGTCCCACATCAGGCTCCTTCCTCAGCAAGTAGCCTGCTTCTTCCTCTGCGTGCCAATCCCCCTGCTTGTGCTCTCTCTCTGACAAATAAATAAAATCTTTAAAAAAAAAAGTTTTGTTTTGTTTTTGTTTTTAAGGTAGGAAGTATCATGTACCTCAGAAAGGAACAGATGTAGTCTTGAAGAGAGTTCAGAGGAAAGATTATTTTTGGTCTGTGTGATGAATGATACAAAAAAGCAAAAAAGATGATGGGAGAGGTGGCCTGCTTCCTAGACCTTGAAAGACAAACACAATAATGCTAACTACATCAACTTAACTATAACTGTTGAGTACCTACTGTGAGCATGGTGCTATGCTTGGAGCTTTTCCCAGTCTTATTACCTAAAATAACTGTGTGAGGTCAATATTGTTACTCTCAAATTAAATAAGGACGCAAACTCTACTGTTACACAGCTACCGAAGTGGAACCAGACAGACCTAGGCAAGAGCAAACATTGAATCCAGAGCTAGCTGGATCCAAATTCCCTGCCTTTCCCCCCTCTCTCCCAAGTTTTTAAAGTCGGTAAAACATCCATTTCTTCCGTTTCTAAAAGTCTAATTACTATTCATCTTCTGGTTGAAATGCCAGGTCTTTTATTAGCAGATTCTGAAAATGTAGTCTGCAGGTGGACTTGCATCAGGTCATAAAGGGAGTCTGGGAAAACACAAACTTCCAGGCCCCAATTTCAGATATTTTTAAGTAATTAAGTCTGGGATGAGGACCAGAGACTCTATATTATTTTTTAAAATATTTATTAGAGAGAGAAAGCATGAGCATAGGGGGAGGGGCAGAGGGAGAACCAAAGCAGACGCCCTACCCAGCGTGGAGCCCAACGCAGAGCTCAATCTCAAGACCCCCGAGATCACCACCCAAGCAGAAATCAAGAGTCAGGACCTTCAAGCGACTGCACCACCCACGCACCCCAGAGAATCTGTATTCTTTCAGCAAATTTATTTTGCCTCTCTTGAGAACCACTGTGTCTAGAAGGTCTTCCAGAAGATTTCAGTAGAAATAAATTCTTTGGAAGAATACTTCTACTAAAACTGCTGGAGTTCTCCGTACTGGCATGCCTGAGGCTGAGGTTGATTCTTCTACTTCCCTGACAGCACAGGGACTAGCTGAAGTAATGAATGCCTGAAAAGGTTTTGGCCTGATCCACTTACAACTCTAGTCACCAAGCACTAACTAAGCTATTTGTGAAAGCGCTTAAAACCACACAGAATCTACGTGCCAACCTGATAGATCACGTGGGGGAAAACGTAATCTGTATGCGTAACATTTCTAGAAGCCGGTCTAGTCCGACTCGTGCGCAGGCGCAGAAGGAAAGGGACAGTCGACCCGCCAAGGCTTGCCCCTCCTCCATCCTCTTTCTGGCTTTATCGTACTGCGCAGGCGCACTGAGTGAACCAAGATGGCGGCTCCCGTGGATCTGGAGTTGAAGAAGGTAAAAGAGGGTCCTGACCTGCTACAGGCTTCTCTTTGGGAAGCTAAGGGGATATATCGAATGAGGGTCGAGTCCTGAGGAAGGCAAGAGGCCCCAGGGAACTGGGGAGTGATTTCCCAGAGTCCTGAGGCGGGACCAGTTCTCCTTAGGTTGGCGTGGGGGGCGAGCAGCTCTTTCTGGGTAAGAGCCGGTTGGGCTGGTCTGGTTAAGTCTGGCGGGCCGATAGCTGGTATGTTCTCTCGTTCCGAGCTCCAGAGCCGTTTCGTTGTGTGGAAGCTTCAGTTCCCTAGTAAGGCCTGAAGTAAGCGTTTCAAATTGAAGACCCTTCGGACCGCTTGCCTGAGCTGAGGCATCTGTAATTGTAAATCCTCATTTGCTTTAAAAATTCCCAAGTCCACTCTGTTTTTAGGCCACTTACTTGATCCTGTACCGTGAAAGGTCGCAGTATCTACATACACGTCAGAGTTAGATAGTCTCATAGCAATGTTAGTATCAGGGCTTTAACTTCCAGCCGTACTCCCCTTCCCCTTTTCTTGAAGGACTTGTCAAAAAAACAGGTCCGTAAAATTTTCCAAATATAATCTGTATCAGAAGGAATTGGGCTCCTCTCTTCAAACAGTTGCCTATAAATGTGTTTAGTCAAAAAGGTTTTCGCCATCTAAGGGTTGTCAGGGAAAGGATCCTGGACTTATCTACTTTAAACCTGTACTTTTTTTTAGAAAAGGAAACTGAGTTCCAGAAAAGATTTAGTTAAAAGTTGGGACTAGAATCCACTATTCCCTACTTTACTCCACACCTTTTGATTATGAGTTTAGGTTCTTCAGAAGAGCAAATTTTGCGTCTTAATACTTCTGGTCAACCTTTGCATATGAAATAGGACAGCTGGGCTAGTTGTTGCTCCTAATAAATGAAGCTGTTTGTTATTACCCGGAGGATATATGTGTATGTAACTTGCTTTTTGTCTTTCTTCTTTTGAAACTTGTAAATTTAGTCTTTAACGTGGTGTTCTCTAATGCTGTAATATCTCAGCTTGAACAGTTACCAGCTTCCTTAGCAAAGTGTGCACAGGTCAGGTAATTTTACATGCAAAACAAAATTCATTTTAAGAATTCTTAACGAATTTTAAAAATTTACCTTTTTTTTTCTGTTGAGAGTTCAAATGTAAGTCAGGGTTTAGTGAAAGAGTAAACAGTTGAGTACAGCTGTGAATGGTCTTAGCTCCCAGTATTTGAATTCGTTATTAAGAAACCCCTGGGCAATGAATGCAAACTAAGAAAATGATTGGAGACTTAAATTGGGTAGTTTTGACGGCTAATTAAATTAACTAAAAAATAAACTTGTTTAAAGGTTTTATCTTCTAATATCTTTATGAGATCTTTGTTGTTGTTGTTGTTGTTGAAGACTAATAGGAAATTTCAGGCACCTCCCTTTCCAAATCAGTCTTTGGAAACCTACTAGTAGGGGAGAACAAAGTCAGAAAAAAGTTTAGTAGCCCTTGCCTTGTATTGCTGCAGTCACAGATGTTATTATTAAGGCATAAATTTGACAGCATCTGAAAGTCATTCCAGGCACTTAAGAGTATCCAAGAACTGTGTTTATCTTTAAGTGTACATGAGGGTCAAATTTCGCTTGGTATGTGGATATGAATATCATGATACAGTTCTACCAATGCTTTGAATTTTTTTGTTAGTTTTTTTATCTTTATCTCAAAAATATTTGTATTCTGAATATTACTATAGACAGAATAGAAACATTCCTGAACTAGGGGTCGGAAGAAATGGATTTAAGTACCTGCCTTTCCACCTAATAGTTGTTCAACCCTGTGGAAGCCACTTTTATCTCTTTAACAAATTTAGTTACTTTAACTTGTAAAGAGTGATGATGAAACTGCCATCCCTAACTCATAGGATTATTGAGAAGAGTAAATGAGATAAATTCTTCAATGTTCTCATATTAATATTCCCTTGTTAGTATTTCAAACAAATGTGAGAAAGTGTTTTGAGACCTAGTCATGTAACACAAATGAAGTGAGTTGTATTTGTGGTTCTTGTTTTGAATCTCTGGGTGTCATCCTCTGACTCTTGCATTTATTGTTTTTATTACTCCTTGGATACCTGCTTTTTCATAAGGTTATTTAATGTATATTTGTTCTTCAAATAGACTGCATCTTCTGAGGACAGGATAAGTTCATTATTTAGTATGGTGGCTTGATTGTTTACAATTATATTGACTTTTACTGATGTTTGTGTCAGTAAATTTAACAGCTTTGTCTCTGGTTAACATGCTTTATTTTAATGTGTTTGGATTTGACTTGTGTTTCCTGTAAAATGTTTCACCCACTAAATCGAGGACTTGTTTTTATTAGGCCTTTACAGAGCTTCAAGCCAAAGTTATTGACACTCAACAGAAGGTGAAGCTTGCAGACATACAGATTGAACAGCTAAACAGAACGAAAAAGCATGCACATCTTACAGATACAGAGATCATGACTTTGGTAGATGAGACTCACATGTATGAAGGTGTAGGAAGAATGTAAGTAAAATATATCCTTAAGGGGGTTATTGTGGGAGAGTTTTTGTCCAGAATTTGTTCATTTTAAAACTTGGGTTAAAGTATCATAGTAGTTTTGGGGATCATCGAGTCAAATACCTCCTTTTAAAAAATGCTAACTGAACCCCAGATAGATGTGTTTAATATTAGACTTTGAAGTACATTTCTTAAGTATTTTCCTGTTCTCTCTATGATCAGGTAGGTACTTAAGTGTATAACTTCAATGACAAAAATATGTTTTGTCATGAAAAGATGTTTATAGTAATTTTGTGTGTGAAGATTTATTTAAGTAGTTGTAGTTTTAACTTCCCCTATCCTACCTGATTTATTAGGAATCATACAGATCCTAGATCTTTTAGATGTTTGTCCAGTGTTGTAAAATAAAAATAGATTCATTTATCATTTAAATAAACTCATCCTATCATACATGAGAAATCAAGTAAACCATTTTTGCCTTTTGTTTGTCCTAATTGTTATATTATTAACCACCCACACTGCACTTCTTTTAAGAAATACATTACCCTTGTGAGGGAGACTAGATCTGCTTTGCCTTCTCTAAGCAGTAAATAAGGAATGGAAAAGCCCTTAACTACAGGTCACATTCCATTACAATGAGCTAAAAGGAGAAGACTGATTTTTTTTTTTTTTAAGTGGGGGAGGTACAAGAGGAGGGTTTTTCTGGAATTTGGTCTTTGAATATTATTTAGTAAGTGGACCGTTACTTCAAGTTTGGAGATCTTTTAGTTGAGTGGAATTTGACCTCGGTCTTAGGATGACTTGTTTTGTGATTGATTTGAAGGAAGCGTAACATGTGTAACATTTAGTAATGGCTTTGGAATGACATCATGAGAAGTGGGCCCTGCTCATGACTAGCTACTCCATTTCTTTCTGGAAAAGAGATAGATTATGATAAACATGTGATTTGCTTTCTCAGAATAAACAATATATCACAAATTTTATCTCTGTAGTTCATATTTTTCATTTTAGCTTATTTTTAGAGGAAGAGAATCCCACTTTGAGGGTTTGCTTACTGGGGCATGAAAGAATTGGAATGATAACAAAATAGAACCCTTGAATATCTGTCTGTGTAGTATGAGGTGCATTGTTGGCATTCACTACAGGGTAATTTTATCCTTAATGTGAATATCCTTAGGTATTAAAACAGTAATGTTAGCTTTCCTAACATGTTTGTTAACATGTTGCACCTGGATTTCATGTCACAGCATTAGCCTTTGCAACAGTTAAAGAATCTCTTTTTCCAAAAATAGAAAAACTCTTTTGACTGTCTTTGGCCTTTTGAGCTACAATGAAGTTTTTAGTTTTAATCAGAATAATTTAATTGATTAAACATGGTGCATAAGTGGGGTAGTTGCTTTTTTTTGCATACTCCCCTAAGTGCTACAAATAGGTTGTATTCCATGCGAAGAAGTATAGAATTAAAAGGCTAGGATATGATTTAGTTAACGTACAACAGTAGTAGTATTTCCCGAAGATTTATTTCATGTATAAGAAATACATAGTTTTAAATGTTTGGATAAAGTGAAACCTACGTAGTTTCAAACTGGTTTTCTTTCTTTTTTTTAAATAATTTTTTATTGTTATGTTAATCACCATACATTACATCATTAGTTTTTTTTTTTTTAAAAGATTTTATTTATTTGAGAGAGAGAGAGAATGAGAGATAGAACGCATGAGAGGGAAGAGGGTCAGAGGGAGAAGCAGACTCCTTGCTGATCAGGAAGCCCGATGTGGGACTCGATCCCGGGACTCCAGGATCATGACCTGAGCCGAAGGCAGTCGCTTAACCAACTGAGCCACCCAGGCGCCCTACATCATTAGTTTTTGTTGTAGTGTTCCATGATTCATTGTTTGTGCATAACAGCCAGTGCTCCACGCAGAATGTGCCCTCTTTAATACCCATCACCAGGCTAACCCCTCCCCCCACCCCCCTCCCTCAAACTGGTTTTTAATTTGACTTTTACGCTTTCTGCATCCCACTGAGTGCAAATTTGACCCTGCATTGTAGGGGCATGTAAGGTGAACAGCGTTTGTTGTTTGGCTAGAGTATTAGTGCCCTCAGGAAGAAAAGACTTGCTGAGTATTTGTCTGGTCATGAGGATGTTCTCCTTGATGCTAAACCTGAAATAACTATTTCTGAATTTATAGTCTTGAGTAATCTTGAGTATCATTGTGATTCACTTATTTAATTCAAGTCTTCACCTTAATTTGTCTTTTACTTTTTGAGTATTATTTGGGAATTCTAATTAGAATACTAATTTTTCTCAAGCTGTTGTTTTAAAACCATGAATTATAAAATCCAAAATACTCCATTTTTGTTTTAGGATCTGTAGTAGATTTTTGCCATCGCTGAAATTCAGGCCTCATTGTATCTTGCCTAGATTATTGCAATAGCATCTTAATTTTCTTTCTGCCTTTATTCTGTCTGTCCAAATGCAGTCTTTGTACTTCTGCCGGAATTGATCACGTCCATATTTTTCATAAAATTCTTTGATCTGTTGCCCACAGGATAAAATCTAAACTTATTAGCCTGGTATTCATGTTCATTCATAATCTGTCTATTATTAATGTAACCCCCTAGCCTCAAGTCCTGCCACTTTCTATTCCCAGGCTCAGGATAGCACACATAAGTTTCATGTCATGGACTTAACTTCTTGCATTGATTTTGGGTTATCTGTTGAGAAGGAGTTTGAGTTTCATGTGGGCTTTAAACATGTTTTAATTGATTAGTAATGTCTGTCATGGGTGAAGGTAGAAGAGTAGTAAGTAGCACATGTTCCAGAAATGGTTATCCCTACTTTTGCCACAGGGCTTTGTCACACATGTTCTTGCTTTTGCTCGTTCTGTCCTTGGCCTGAAGTATCCTCTTGCCCTTGTGAAATTCTTATCCTTCAAGACATAGCTCATCTTTGAAGATTTTTCGGTTCTCCCTGGCAGACTTATTCCACACTTCCCTGGGTGATGCCAGAGCTTTTGTTCCTGTAGCTAGTACAGCAGAGAAAGAGAGATGATTGATTTCTAAATGGGTCATTTTCCTCAACTAGATCGTCAGCTCTGTGAGACCATGTACATATTTGTCTTTGTTTCCTCAGTTCTCAACATAATGTCTGACACAAAATAGGTGTTAAATGTGTCTTGATTTGGGGTGCCTGGGTGGCTCAGTCGTTAAGCGTCTGCTTCGGCTCAGGTCATGGTCCCAGGGTCCTGGGATCGAGGCCCTCATCGGGCTCTCTGCTCAGCGGGAAGCCTGCTTCTCCCTCTCCCACTCCCCCTGCTTGTGTTCCCTCTCTTGCTGTCTCTCTCTCTGTCAAATTAAAAAAAAAAAATCTTTTTTTTTATTTGAAATGAGTGTGATTCTTTCTCTTGCCTAAAATAACTGCATTTTCTTTTATTTCTTTAGAAAGAAAATATGTTTGGAAAGTTGGACAATTAAGAATTAGACTATCTTATTCTGTTTTAGAATATGATTCAACAAAGGTGAAATTGTTTTTTTTTTTTTTTTTAATTTTATTTATTTATTCATGAGAGACAGAGGGAGAGAGAGAGGGGGGGGAGAGAGAGAGAGAGAGAGAAGCAGGGGGAGAAGCAGGCTCCCAAGGAGCAGGGAGTCCGATGCGGGACTCGATCCCAGGACCCTGGGATCATGACCTGAGCCGAAGGCAGACGCTTAACCATCTGAGCCACCCAGGCGCCCAACAAAGGTGAAATTGTAAAAGTAATGTATTTTGACTAAGGTCAGAGTTTTTTGTTTTTTTTTTTAACATTCTTAGTTTATTGATCCTCTCATGAAAAATCTGCACAACCACCACAGATAAAGCCACTGCAGCATCTTTACTCCTTCTGTTGTCCAATCTCCAGCTCACTTTTTGCCAGCACCAACTTTGGCTTTTGCAGTCCCCCTGACTTTCTTCATTCTCTTCTTGCGTTCCTTTCGCTGTTTTCTTGATGTCTTTTTCTTCTCATACAGGCCATGTCTTGCAAGTATGTGTTTGGGTTCATTTTTCTTTGCATAATCCAAGGAATCATAAATCATGCCAAAGCCGGTTGTCTTGCCACCGCCAAAATGGGTTCTGAATCCAAACACAAATATGACATCTGGTGTGCTCTTGTACATTTTGGCTAGTTTTTCCCGAATTTCTGTCTTAGGTACCGTTGCCTTTCCAGGGTGAAGAACATCAATGACCATCTGTTTCCGCTGAAGTAGTCGGTTAGTCATGAACTTCCTGGTCCGGATAGTTACTGTGTCGTTCATGATGGCGGCGAGGGTTCAAGCAGCCGGGGAGGAAAAGAAGAGGAGTTGTTTCGGACCAAAATTATGTCCTTTGGTTGGACAGTATTAATTCTTTATTAAATCTATCGAGAAAGTTGACTAATTCTAAATGCCAACCAGTTGCAGAGATGTTCGTTCAAAACTGACTGTATAGAAGAACCTAAGCCTTTAGAATTATGCTGAGAGCAGTATAGTCCTTAAAGAATAAAGGCTATTCTATGCAGAATAATATAAATATAACAGTATCTCTTTTACCTTCCTCATTTTCATATAGGATGGAAATCAGATTTTCCTTTATAGGGTATGTATTTAATTTAACCAAATCTTGCCAGCCCAGATGTCTTTCAAGTCACAAGTATGGAGAAATTTGGTAGTATTAAATACCTCTTATATATGGCTAATTGTGGTTTTAAACAAGGAAAATCGGGCTATAGGGTAAGAGATGATGAATTGCTATGTACTGTGAGCTCTGCATATTCATTGCTCAAAGCTATATGCCATCCAGTCTCTTGGCGTGTTGCCAGCACATTTTAGTTCTCTTACTTCATATTCTTTGGAGAGGCTGTTATGTAGCCTGATACTACTACCACCAATTTCTAGTTTGGCTACTTAAGCTGTTTGTGAGCTGACCTCACCATACTGCTTTGAGAACTATGATGAAAGTTACAACTGTGGAATGATCTGTCTGAATAGT